TTAAAATTATCAAGACAAGGGTTCTGAAGCAAGTGGGCTGGCAAGAAATGACAACTTTCTGGGGAACTTCTCACAGTGCCCATTGAAGAGTGGAGAAACAAGATGCATTCATACAAGAGCTGCCATTCCCCTTTTCCACTCAGTGTTTCTGCCTAGAAAAACCCTTGGACTCCGACTGCTCTCTTCTTCCTCTACCTTCTTCACATTCTCCATTTTTTTCTTAGAGTCTCAGAAACTCTGCAGCCCCAGCAGGAACCTCAAAGGGTGCACAAGAGAGGATGCACAAGCTGCTGCACAGATGTGGAGGTGTCCTGCAGACAGGATTTCTGACCGAGCATTCCCATGGGATGAGCTCCCAGTTGCCCGGCTGGGACACAATGCAAACCCCACTGCTCCCCCATGCACGAGGAGCTCCCAGGGTGGTGTCACTGCCAGCCTAAGGGGCACTGGAGCCTTTCCCTCCTGTGACAGCTCCTTTCACCTCGGCTCAGAGACAGACGCTGGGGAAGCTGCCTGGAGCTCTCCAGCAGGGCTCAGCTCTAAAGGCTGCTGAGTGCTGAGATTTGTGCCACTGAACTGCCCTTGCAGCCCCTGCTCAGCAAACTGCTTCTCACTGAATGAAGGGGAATTTAAGTATGTGCTTATGCATTTAGATGAACAGAGAGAGCCTGTTGAGTCAAAGGAACTACTGAGAGCAGAGGCCCTTATAAATAATGATTTTTTTTTTTTCTTGTAAAAGTATCTGTTATTTATTCCCAAGTTCTTATCTTGTTTATAACAAAGAATGAACAAAATTCCTTTCCCAAGGCTGGACGGTCCTGGAGCATATCCACACCAAACAGGGACAAAAATAAGCTTCATTTTAGACAGAATAAATAAGCAAATGCTTCTTAGTCTCTTGCCTTCTATCTCTCTCTTTTTTTGTATTCCTCTGTACACAGTTAGCATACGGTATTATGGCCTTATCCAAAGTCTGCTGGACTTGATGGAACTCTTTCTCTTCACATGAATGGGTTTTGGAGCAGACCTGGTGGCAGAGTATGGCACTATCATTACAGAGGCTCCTCATCTACTGTCTAGAAAAAGGAATATTATTAAAATACCAGTCCAGCACATAGCTCCCAAGAAATCTCAATATTCACTGTGTTACTTAATTTAAAATTTAAATAAATTACCCTGTTTTCTTGCTGAACATTCTTTAGGAGCATCAAATCTGTAGCACTGGATAGGCTTCCAACCTCTGGCTCATTTTATAGACAATCTTTAAACCACAATTGCCTCTGAAGTACATCACACACAAAGGTAAAAACAGTATCTTCCAAACATTCTCATAAACCATCTTTAAGATGAATGTGCCCCAAACCAGAAGTCCCCATGGTGGCAATAAGGACATTTGCTGCTGGTGATTTTTGTCACTGGGCAAGGCATAGCCTGATAAACTGGGGGTGGTGAGGCTGCACAGTCAGGGTGGTGTCCTGGCCTCTCCCCTGATAAATCCAGCTGATAAAACCACCATGGCTTTGGTGAGACAGGGCAGACACAGAATGCCCATATCCCCTTCTACTTCAGCTGATGAATTTCATATGAATGAGCTGGGACATTTTTGCCACCAAGACCCTGAGCCAGCTGTCACTGCTGTCACTGGAGGGCTGCTATGGGGGTGATTCCCACAGTGGGACAAGCTCATGGCTCCTGTGCCACCCAAATCCCATGGATGGATGCATTTCACTGTATGACAGTGATTTTCCAGACCTTTAAGTGCTACCTATGGGAACACTTGGCCTCTTGCATGTCATGGAGGGGCTCGAGGGTGTCCAGAGAAGGACACAGAGCTGTGGAAAGGTCTGAGCACAATCTGATGAGGAGCAGCTGGGGGAGCTGGGGGGGCTCAGCCTGGAGAAAAGAAGGCTCAGAGGGGACCTGACCTTCTCACTCTCTACAACTCCACGAAAGGAGGGCATAGCCAGGTGTGGCTCAGTCTCTTCTGCCAAGTAACAAGCAACAGGACATGAAGAAATGGCCTCAAGTTGTGCCACAGAAGGCTTAGACTGGATTAGGAAAAAAATTATTCACTGAAAGGGCTGTCAAGCAGTGGCACAGGCTGCCCAGGCAAGTGGTAGAGTTGTCGACCCTGGAAGAGTATAAAAAATATGTGGCTGTGGCACCTGGGGACATGGGTCAGTGGGGGGCTTGGCAGAGCTGGGTTAATGGTTGGAGTCGACCATTTTAGAGATTTTTCCCAACTAAACAATTCTAGGATTCTGTACTGGCATCACACAAAACTGAGTCAACAAGAGGCCCCCGAGCTCAGGTCCCCACCCCCACACTAAAAGCAGAGGGGTACAGGCAGGTCTGATTCATGTTTATATTGTCCCAGTACTCAATACACACTCAGAAATCTTAAAGCAGATTGTGACTTGGCATCTCTAACTAAAAGATATTGATACACAGACACTCAATGTGCTTTTGCAAAATGACTGAAAACCTGTTCTTTTCATGTTTCCTCAATACAAACATGAGTGAATTTTGCTTTAGAGTAACTACTGCTCTGAGACATATCATCATCGGGCAAATGAACTTGTTACCAGTATTAAATCCTTGTAAATAAAAGAAGCAGACAATCCTGCATATGTTTTTTTTTCTTTTCTTTTCTTTTTTTTTTTTTTGAGTTTGCATGCTTAATACAGAACTAGCAGGTTTAAAATCTCACTGAACATTCTATGTGAATTAATCAGATTCTAGAGTAATGTGGGAAGGAAAATAATGAAAAGTACAGCTTTTCATTTAAACATATGCAGCTCTTTTCATGCAGGGTTTTCATGTAGGATTTTTTCTGTTTTTTTTTTTTTAATTACACTTTGCATTAAAGAACATAGCCAGTGTAAACACAGTCTGTAACACTTATAAAACAGTGCAAATTTTGTAAATTTTTGGGAGGAAGTTGAAATACATATATTTATAATGGAGGTAAAATCGCTTTCTTTCTCAGTAGAAAAATACATCTATTAAACACCTATGTTTGGAACTTAACTTCACAAAAGAGCAAGTTATAGTTCTATACTGTGTAATAAATTAATATCTTTTCTAAATTTCCATTTTCAGTGTTAGTGTCAAATGCATAATAATGTTAGAAAAAAATGAGAGAAACAAGTATTAGTTAGAACCTAATGAAAAATCTTACAGACAATGACTGGTGAAGGAGGGCACAGAATAAAGAACGGGGGAAAGAAGCAATGGAAAAATACTGACCTCTATGAATTATTGCACATTTGAGATCATTTTCATAGCCTTTGGGCCAATTCTGGATACTTTTAAGTCTTAGGTCAGTGTTTGTTTCCATTTGACTGTAGGGTACAATTTAGGAACCACAGCAAAATGTCAAGGATTTACTGAACTTGTTTGCTGATGAAACCACAGGCAGCTGAGTGTAGAGTGCTAACTTTTATTCATGCAATCAAAGAGAACAATGCTAAAGACATACTGAAGCACAGGCAAGATTGCCTGTGCCTTAAAATTATTTTTGGGAATTTGCAGATCTTACTGAGACAAAACTCTCATGTCTGCTGTGTTTTCACTAGAGCCATGCCAAAACCTGCAAAACTGCCTTTTGCCTTCATTATTTAGAGCTTTTTCTCTTTAATACTGTTGTCTCCATAGCCTGACTCTGCAGCTCTTACCCAGCTGAGTGTGGAAATCTCCACGAAACACTGTGCTACTTGCTGAGCAGCAGCACCTGATGCTGAGCACCTGTGTAACAATTCTCACCCACCAGCAGCAGGAATTCCATTCAGGAGAGCTAAATGACAGTGATCCTATTTGACTGATGGGATCACTCACACAAGTGTGAAATGCAAGACCTTGCCAGTTGCTTAAAAATATCACTTTTCCTGCCTCTGCCATATTCAAAAGGTACATAAATTAGCAGATAGATAAACAACAGAGAAAACTGTTTCAGGTGATTATCACTGCAATGGAAGTCAGACTTACTAGTAAACCTGAATAAGGAATGATTTAGCACTTAATCTCTGAATATTGCTGTAGTACTTCTTTTCTATTGCTGTTGTTCTCACAAAAAAAGGTTAATTTCAAATTGTAACTACTGGTTTTGGAAAAAAAATCCTACATAAAATTACTTTTCTACAAATCTTAGATCTTAAGAAATTTCAGATTAATGAACTGGCCAATAGACAGCTAAATTTATACTTAAACTGTTAGGAAAAATTCATTAAAAATCTGCAAAAAATTGTGAAATAATCTATAGCTGACAGAAAAATTGTTTAAAATTGTCCTAAATATCTTCCAATATTCTAGTAAGTTGTTTAATAAAACCACATTGCTAAACATTGACTAGGAATACAACATGCCTCAATAATAAAATGAAGAGATGCTGATGGGAGCAGGTGATTTATTTTGTAGTAACTGTTACTATGCACTTTATTGATAAAGCTTTGTCTGCATTGTTTCAGCTGGGCATCTTCTAAGAAGTATTTGCAAGACAATGTTACCAGGAAGGTTTCCCTCTCCTTCCTTTTCAAGATGACTCACCCCTCGTAGTCTGTGCAGGAGATAATAATTTTTGTAGCATGATTAGAATTTCAAATTGTACTGTAGTCTATATGAAAAACCCAACAACTTCTGTGTATTCCAAATAACTGTTACTTAAATATGTATGGATGTTGGAGATTGTATACAGTGACCTTTTATCCATCCCAGATTGTAAACCTACTGTGAAGTGGCGAGATGCGTTTTTTCTCTCCCCCCTCCTTTTTAAAGAAGCAATAAAATGTACCTTAAAAGACAGGAAGGACATTACTGAGCTACAAAAGAATGCCCCCTTCGTCAATAATTTGTAAATGTAAACAAAAAGAGTTCAAGTAGAAAAGCAAGTAAGTGTGCTGCTGCTTTGAATAGGTTTTCTCACCCCATGTGGGTAGGGCAAAGTTCTTTACAGACGTCTCTTCATGTGGCCATGAAGCATCTCTAAAGAGCCCTGATGGCCACTACCAGATATCACTGGTGAAGCTGAGCTCCTTGGCCGACAAAGGTAGCAAGGGGGTGTTCCTGTGGAACTCCTGGGGGTCCTTGGCGGCGTGGTTGAGAGGTAGCTGTCCGTTGAGGAGGGTCAGGGGGATGTTACAGTACGTGTGGTGGTTGCTGATGGAGGCCATGGGCAGCGTGGCTGCAGACACGTCGTACTCGTAGCCTCTGCAGTAGTGCCTCATGTGCACAGAGTCTGCCTGCTGGAAATCGCCCGCGTCCGCCCGCGACTCCACCAGCGTGGCAGAAGTGCCTGTGACAGCAAGAGAGGGCACAGTCTGCAGGTCCCCAAAGAGACCCTGCTCCGCAGAATCCAGCACCTGATGCCGAGACACCACCTCCTTTTTCTTCCCTGGCATTTCAAAGACTAGGCGCTTCCAAAACTTAGAATTCAGTTTGCTGCTTTTTGGTCCTTTCCACTTGACCACTGAGAGAAGTTTGATGGTGTGCTTTAATGATTCCACTTCATGATAATTCACCTTCCCTTTTAATTCAGTACACTCAATCAAAATAACTTTGATTTCTCCACTGACTAGCATGTTATGGAGTCTGTTTTCCATCTCAAAAATACTCCATCCTCTCCTGAGAACATAGTCTGGAGTTAACACGATAATGAGTCTTCTGCTTTGCTCAACACATCTTGTGAGATCTTCAATGTAGGCTACAAATTATAGAAAGAGAGAAAAAGTAAAGAATAAAGAAGTCTATTGTGTTAAAACATCAGGCTTGCAATCAAGTATAACAAAACCCTGCATTTTACTGATCCACACCATTTAAAGCAATGGGCATTTCAATATACTTCAACAAAAATAGGATTGCGTATCACAAAATATTTCTATTATGGAGTACACATAGAAAACTCTTTAATAACACCCTCCATCCTTTGCTATTTTTCCCTGTTCATTGCAGCAGAATGACATTTACATGACACCCTTGCTGTGTAGGTGCACAAGTGAATAAAACACACAGTTCACTTAGTGAAAAAAATGTAGGTCAAGATCAATGTAATGTTTGTGTATATTCTAACATTAACATTGGTTATGATTAACACCACGCTGAGGGAAGCACGCTCTGGGAAGCGCTTCCTGTGTTCCAGATGCAAAGACATGAGAGTGCTGCAGGGTGTATGAACCATAACTGGCAAAAGCTCAGAAAGAAATGAACCCTCATCACATGCAGAACTTGTGCTATTGCATAGAAGCATCATGGTAGCTTTTTCTTCTTTACCTTTGACCACAAAAGCATAAGAACATTCTTTGTGGCTCAGTGGTCTGTTTTAATCTCACAAACCTGTGCTTCTATGTACCCCAAGGTATTAACAGAGACTTCACAAGTGACAGAACAAATGGAAAATTTAAACATATTTGAAATATTTATTTGTTGAGACATCAGTGACAAAGAAAAGAGTAGAATTCTTTTATTCATGCATGCCAAGTAGTTGCAAACGATCAGTGTAAGCAGAAATGCCAGCCCCATCAGCAGCTCCATGACACCAGTTTATTGAATTTCAAAATATTTGTGAAGTTGGACCTTGATCCCTGAAGTTCACTTATCCCAGGGATGGTAGGGAAGAGAAGCTAAATACACTGGTCTGACATGGAACAGGATGGGAAAGAGATCTACTTACAGACCTGATCCAAAACCCATTCAAATGGACAGACTTCATTCAACAAACTTCAAAGGGTTTTGGGTCAAGACCAGAAAAACTAAATCCCTTGAACAAAACCACTAAGGGCAGAAAACATTCATTGGTTGCACAGCATTACAACTGCAAGCTTCGAGACAGGATATCTTGGTGTTGTTAAACTACATGAACCTCTTGACCATGCTACTGGGAATGTGCTGCCTAACAAGAGAGGAGAAGCATGTGTTAGAAATGAAGACTTGGACACAAGAGCTGCACAGAACAGATCTTTACTCAGCACAGGGCAGGACCTCTCTTACACATCTGCCCTCTAGCAGGAACAATAATTACAAATAACATCATTAATCAACATCTGTTACTGCAAGACTCATTTTATAGTCCCAGGCACCATACCACAGCATGCTTATTCACACCACTTCCAGTAAAGTAAATAGCTACAAAATAGGCCAACAGGAACATTCTAAAATAGCTTATTTTCATGAGACTGAAGGCATAGTTAGCATCAAATCTGCCTTTACCAATGTTTTATTTCACCACTTAGCAGCAAGAATTTCTTTCACAAATGGAAAAAAGAGGCAATTGCAAACATCCCACAGACACACAAAGTTTTAAGACATACACATACATTAAAAATGTCTATTCAACAGTCCTGACTTTTAGTTAATGGTTTATGACTTTTTAATCATGCAGCATTTACAGTCGGTTTTTGTTTTGTTTTTTTTTTCCTCTTGAAATACTTTAGAGGAAATCCCCCCCATCGTTCTTTGTAAAATAGTTACTCATTAATGAAAAAAATTCAACATTAAAATCCATGGGAGAGGCAGTGGAGCGGGGAGAGAATCAGCAACAATGAGAAAATGATAAGCAGAACTGGTGAAACAAAACTTAAGGAAAGGTAGAAATGTTCAATACAATGGAAAGATATTATCCCAATGTATCAACAGCTCAGACTCTTCATTTTCTTCCTTTCTTTCTGCTCCCAAAAAGAAAGAATTTAGGTGGGAAGCTTCATCATTAGAGGTTGAATCTGCAAGATACAGTAAAACAACAAACTATCATGCATCTTTCCTGAGACATATTCATCCCTCCTCCAAACACCTCAGAACACTGCTATGCACAAGACAATTCTCTGCAGGACACAACACTGGGCAATGCCATATGTCCAGGGTAGTGCTGAGCACAGCCATGCATATCCAATGCATCCAGTTGAGAAAAAACACAAACCAACAAAACAAACAAAAAAAATCACTCCACTTTCATCTCTTCAAATATCCAGCACCAATCATTTCAATAGCAACACCCCAGCAATAATCCATCATACCATTGCAATCAAAGACTTGTCAGCCTTTGCCTTGGGCAAACTGGGTGGAAAGAAGATGGGAGAAATTCCCTATTTTCTTAAGTGGCCATTTCTCTCCTCTGTGCTTCTCAGGTCTCTTTTGGATGCCCACCTTCCTCCCTGGGTATTGCTACATGTTAGAGCTCTGTCCTCAGCTGACTAATGAACATCTTCACAAACATGAGGTGATCCCTCAACTCCCACGTTTGGAGCTGGTCACTTGTAAACGTGGCCAATGAACAGGGGACTTGCTGATGCACTGAGGATAAAGTACACTGAGTTATAAGAAACTGGAACCCCAAGTTTCCAGCTGTCTGGTCCAGAAGTACTTCGTACTCCCACTAAACCCAGCTTGGGACTATTACTGAAGGCAGGTGACAATTTTTTCTGGAGCCTGCGGTTCCATTGGGTGTACTCTACGTCAGATTTGCACAACTTGAACATTTCTGTGAAGAAAAGCATGGGGGAAACAGATTCTTGTCTCTGGAAATTCCAGCTTCACTTTTCCTAGTGGTACCAGTCAGACTGCATAAACCTCTGAGTTGCTAAATAATCTGCTCTCCTTTTACTTCAGAATTGGAGACTTCCCAAAATAAAGTTCAGTTGTCTGTCTCAAGTGTTCAGTCCATTACAAGGTACTAAATCCAAGCAATCTATATTGCAATGTGGGATGGAGAAAGGGTTGCTTTCACCTTTCCAGGGAGCTAAGAAATTATTGTCAGGCAATGGCTCTGTTTCATTTACAAGAAAAAAATTGAATAGGGACTTCAGGAATAATATCACCAACTAGTATCAACTCTAAAGTTCCAAAGCAACATATTTTCATCAGATAAATATAACTTCACTGTAACTTCACTTTTCCTGCAGGAGGTGTCAACTTCAATGATATTTCATTGTAAGGGGAGAGGAAAAATTGTCTTGACAAAGTCAGTATGGAATTATTCACTTTTAAGTCCCAGGGATTGTATTTTATCATAAATTAGAATGTAAAAATAAGATGTCAGTGTTAGATCGAACCCACTTGTTTTTTAAATTTTGACCGTTTCCCCCCCTCCTTGAAACATTATTTTGCAATATGGTACAAATCTGTTTTCAAAATGTTAGCAATTGCCAAAGGTAAAAAAAAAAAACAAACCAAATTACATTGTGAGTGGCTCTATCAGTAACTTACTTGCATCACGTTCAATGCAATGCCCAAGGAGGAATGGACAGCAAGAAGTGTTATACCCAAACCCAAACATTGTTTTAGTCTTGCCAGCAAATGGCAAGCAAATCTGTCTTGACAGCAAGTATGTGCTCACCAAACACCATCTACATGTAATGATGCTGAACTGTAGTGTGAAGCACTGAAGAAGAGAATTTCAAGAAATGCATCCTGTTTGCAATTAAATCATGTGTAACTGCCTATGGAATCCTTAATGAGCTACATTAACCACAGGCTGGAAGGAAACCTAATATGCAAGCAGACTAGGAGCAAGGAAATTAATGAACACTATGGGCACAGAGTTGCTTACACAAAGAAGTGACTGACTAACCAGATTCAGATGATTTGCAGAAGGAGTTGAGGGAGAAGGAAAAAACACTAGAAATCATATAAAATCCTGCAGATATTTTTGGGAAACATGGTTTGCAGCACTACAAGAACCAAAGAGTATCTACCATCAAACCCATGCTGGTTGGTTCCTGGCACTCTGAAAATAACCAGCCTTTCTGCGTTTGGCAGTGTGACCATCACTTGAGAAAGTTATTTATAGAAGACTAATTCAGTCCTGCTTTCCTAGCTGAATAGCTCCCAAACCCTGAGTCTGATTACTTTATTATAACACCAATGATTTTGTGTCTTGCTATTCCTATTTATTAAATATGTTTTGCTTCTCTTAGCTTGGACCAGAACACTGAAACACAGAGCAGAGCAATGGCCAGGATGAGCTCAGGAATAGCTGATGAGTTCAACATAAATAAACAAATAATGCAGATGAGTGCACTACAGGACAGGCAGCCCCTTCTGCCTTTTGTTCATATTTATTCCTCTTTCAGCTGACTTCCATGTGTATCCTCCCTACCCTCACCCATGCCTGACATTAAAAGTAAGATTCATACAAAGCAGACTACCAGGGACTTCTGAAACGAGTTTGTGGAGCTGGATATTGTATTCCAGTTCCAAAGAAATGGTATCCTATACTTTACTGAGGCTCTTTGGGAACCCCAGCCACTTGATCCAACTGGGTTTTCTTCATGCAGGAACCCAGGAAGCTGGAATTCACCATGCAAAAACCACACAGAAGGGCAGACAAACCTACAAAGTGCCAGAACTACAATATCGACTGTCATGTGCTTTTTATCACATGCCTTAGACACTGTCCCCTTGTGCTGAGAACTTCTAATTTTTCAGGTAAACAAGTATTTTTATTCTACCACCATTATTCTTTTCACTGCCTGATCTTCATACTCTGGGCTGAGCTGGAGTGAATTGTTGGTGTTTTTGAAATCCTGTCAAGAGCAAATGCACGTATGCTTGAAGAACAAGTAGATGATGCTCCAACAGATATATATTGCTGGTATTAAAAATCTCACTTAACAATTTTTACCTCTTCACTTTCAGGTTTAAAATAATTTGCAGAAACCATGGAGGAAAGCACCTTCCTCTGATGTAGTCCTGATTTTAGGATAGTGAAGTGCAAATAGGTATTTTTCTCTCCAGACATCATCCTTGGGAACAGAAAAATGGCTCAGGTGAAAGTGTAACTCGTCCTGTTAACCCCTCACCAACTACTCCATCTCCTCAGGTCTCCTAACACTGAATTTAAAAAACTCATAGAACTTGAGAGTGTTGTGGGAAAGAGTTTGTTATAAGAGCTCTGAAGATGAATAGGATGAAAATAATAAGAACTGCTAAGGAATTCAGTAACAAGTGCAAGTGCATCTCAGGGATCTCAGTCTCCTTAAGCAGGTTAACTTGTCCAATTATGCCTAAGTTACCTGGGCAGGGAGGTGTGTGTACTGTCAGCTTCGACAGAATGAAGAACATTCATTCTGTTAAGACTAAAGAATTTTTCTTTAAGAAAGAATAGCTGCTTCAGTATTTCCTATAACATGCAACTCAGTTCCTGGGTTACAAACTCGGTCTATACTGCCATGTCTCCCTGCTGGGTCACCAGTCTTGTCTCCCAGCCAGCACAGATGTGTGGGATTCTCTTCCATCTTGCCAGTTCAGGGAGTTAAACCCATCCACACTGCTCTCAGGCAGCACCAAGAGCCATCACAAAGGTCCTTGCTGGCCACTGTGTGATGGGCATCGCTGAGGCCCTTGGCATCCTCCATGGTGGTTCTCCCTCCCACCAGGACAAAATGTTCCACTGGGATAAAGTCTGTAACCTGGCAGGGCTCAGAAACCAACATCTACTGCAAAACATGACTCAGCCCCAAACTGACCTGAGCCCTGGATCTGCTTCCCAATGGTGAAGAGGTGGCCTCAGTCCCCTCCTGGGGACAGCAGCAGTCGCTCCATGGACATCCCTGAATCAGACACAGAGCTGAAAGCAGAGCTCGGAAGTGCCCTTGGAGGAGGTGGCTGTGGGTGTGTCCCAGCCACTGCACATCTGGCTGTAATCTCTCCCTTGGCTGCACAGGGACATGCAGAGCCCATCACAGCTTTCCCCCAGAGGTTAGCCATGAGCCAGCTGGACAAAAACACAATCAGACTTGTCCCTGAATTTTCCTTAAGTCAGCTTTTTAGGCTGTTTGCAGAACCGCGCAAGAAAATGAATTAAATACTATTGAACAAATCTATTTTTTGCCTGCTCTCAAATGCAGGGAGCAGCTGTAGGAGCTGCTGCATGCCAAGAAGGAAGCGAATGGTGCACACCCTCCCGTGGCAGCTCCTCACTACTGCAGGGATTGCAGGAAGCATCACCCCACACAGCTCCTGGCTGCACTGCTGGGGTGACACACACCAAGGTACACAGCATAGAGAAGGACACACATCAGAGCAGAGACTGGGAAATGATTACATTGGTGAAAGTAATTTATACTGAAAAATGAGGAAGTGAAGCACATGTGAGAAAGAGATTTATTTCCTAAAATAAAATGATAGCTGTGATCAACCCCCCGTTTTTCTACAGAAATCTACCCTGGAGAGCTATACACTTTGTCACATCTGCCACTTTTTGAGACAGTCACTCTAAAATATTCTGTGTTTTCCTCTGAATTTTCTAGCAGGCCCATTCCACATTGCACTGCCTTCACTAAGCACTGCAAGTCCTTATGAGAGTGGTGAGTATTAGGCAGAACACAGCCACGTTCCACTACTCCAGGGCACATGGAGAGCTCACAAATGGAGGAGGCCAAGTCCTCCCTCCTTCCCCATCCCCTCACCCTCCCTTAGCCCCTCTTGAAATAAAATGCTTTCCCCCATATCTTTTTCAAAGCTAAAGCATGCAAATCACACTCATTTCAGCTCCACATTTTATTCTGCCTTGTCATTATGTCTGATTAGGCGTTCTTGAAGCTCCATGTGTTAGAATCAGGCCTTTTCATAATACTGAAGAAGTGAGTTTGAGAGGAAAGAAGGATTAAATCTGTGAATGTTCAAAAATGAGAACTGACATTTTCAGGTACCCTACATTTTCAGGAGAGGTTTAATGAATACCCAAAGTGATGGCAAGTATTTGCTGAGTGCCCTGCTGACAAAAATAGACAAAAATAAAATACCATGCTGGCTGGAACAACAATTGGAAAAAAGAATCTAATTTCAGATTAATCTGTGGTTCAGTATAGTTATTATTGATGGGTTAACTTTAAACTTCTTAGTTCACTTGCATAACTGCTATGTATAACTCTGCTATACTGTTGGATAGGAAACAACTAGTTACAACAATTCTGTAGTTTTTACCACAAGAAGATGTATTTTCTCTTAATAATATCTAAAAGTTTCATATAATTTGCTTGTACTGTAAGAAATAAAAAAAGCTATGAGCCAAGTCCCCTTTCTGGAATTTGTCACTATGGGAAACAGGGCAGGGGCAAAAAGAAATAAGTGGATCAGCTAAACTAACTCCTAAACTAGGAGCTGAAAATGCATGTGATAAATTCAAGCCCCCTGCATAGGCCTTTCATGATCTCTGGTGAGGCTCTGACTCCTCTTTCCCAGTGGTAAAGGATTCAGAGCTCTGTTTCCAGTGCTCTCAAAGGTCAGAGAAGAAACAGGCTCTGACTTCTGGGTCAGCTTGGCACAGTGAGGCAGCAGTTTCAAGTCTTTTGGCAGGCAGGTTGTAATGCAGCCATGCTCGAGCTATTCCATGTTTGGGGACATCTGCTCCACTACAGCCACTGCATTGTTCTCTTGTTCATATTTCCTACACAGTAGCACATACAGAGAGAAGTTCATGTTCTCTTCTGTTGTTTTATAAAAGTGATTTGGAGATGGAATTTGTAAAAAAAAATAAAGCTGTTTTTTCACAAGGGTAGCACTTCAAAAAAATGTGATATTACAGGAAACATACTGTGCATTCAAAATTCATCAACACAATGAATATAGTTCATGGTCTTTTTAACTCTCTCAAAAATGAGTCCAGTAGAGAAAATGCCATAACTACCACTAGGAAAGCATTGACCTTTGGTGGAGAAATCCAAAGGTGCTGCTGAATCTTATGAGACTTCCAAGTTAAGGCAAAGCCCAAAAGACAATAGAAAAGATGACTTTTACTTGGAAAGCTGCTGTAGAGAAAACAACTAATCACTGAAGAAAACCAATAATCCCATTTTCAATCATGTAACAGAGATGATAAAATCCTTTTAGGAGGTTTCCTGCTTAGTTACCTGTGTTTGATGTAGACATTTTGAACTTGGTATTGCTTGCAGTGCTGCAGCCTCCCCTGTAGGAAGGTCCAGCTCCTGCCCCCACTGCAAACAATGGCAGTTCCCTCTGATTTCAGCAGTGCAGGAACAAGCTCTAACAGAGAACTCAAATTTGAAATGCTGAGGAAACTTTTCCAGTCTTTGCAACCACTTCCCAAGGTTTTCTATATCTAGTACTTATTGCACAGTGGAGGCCTTTGTGACAGATCAGACAGAAATAAAACTGAAAGGTCAGAAATACTTACTTCCACTAGGGATCAGGTCCCTATCTGGAATGAAGAGCTTATATCCATAGTGCTTTTCTAGAACATCTGGCAGAATTTCAAGTGCAAACTGCTCCTCTTCATTATTATCACGATCTAACGCATCAGGATCCACTTTGGTGTATGAAAGATAAGCGTCATATTCTTTGTTGTCTGTAAGAAAAGAAATCATGTTCGGCCTGCTGCTTGCAAGAACAACCATAAGAAACACAGGAGAGGACTGGAAATTGTATTATTCCTTGAAAACACCAAGCATTTCCCAACAAAATGGGGACTTTTCACAGGAACATATAATCTGGCTTCCAGGCAGAAATCACATGGATCTTTTCAGTTTTTTTCTGCATGCTGAGCAGTAACTCTGACGTGTGTCAGACGTGTGTCACAGCTGAAAAGATCATGGGCAAAATTTTCATACAAATACTAAAGTGGAAACTATTATTTTAAGCCTTTACATATTTGTAATGCAATTCTTTCAACTTCTATTCCTCGGGAGTTCTAGTATGGTAAAGTTTTGAGCTTCAAAAGTTTTGAGCAAGAAAATTTCCTTCCATAAGTAATCGTGAGAAAAGACATAATTCAAACAAATACTGACTATTCCGAAAACAATGCCAAATACAAACAGTTCAAGCATTTTTTTTTTTCAGAAAATCCATAGTTTCAGAAATCAATATCATAATTTTAGATCACAATCTACTCCATCCAGGACATTTGAAATATTTGGAGATCACATTTTAAGAGAGACAAATAACTCCCATAAAGGGTAACACTCCTTCTTCTCTCCTCCCCTCTCCTCCTCCTGCCTAGCACTGGGGCTTGTCTCCAGCTCTGCTTCTGAAACATGGAGCTAAGGGCTCATGAGTGTGCCAGGAACAGAAGTGGTGCCACCACAGTGCTGGGGATCCATGCTGGGATCAGACTTTCTTAGTGACATTTCTCTTTGTATTCCTCTGCAGTAATGGAAAACAGTATATTGAGAAAGTCAACCTTCAGCAATTCGGCCTCCAGGGAAGAGCACAGCTGCCATTATTTACAGAAAATGAAAAATCAAATAGCTAATGTTGTGAGAAGAAAAGTGCATGAATGGAGGGTTTCTGAGTATCAATTATCTGTAAAGAATAGTGCACATGAAAGATAATTAAGGAGTTAAAATTACTCAGTATATTCTGATAAAAAGAACAAATACCTAATCATAATAAAATATACCTCTTGATGACCTTGAACTGATGGTTGCTTATAATACCTGACACAAAGCCAGACCCATGAGGGTCAGAGCTGTAGTCAAAGCATGTGAATAATTGCGTATTTGTAAAAGGCAATTTGCCTAATGTCACCATGGCTGTAGGGAAGGATGGAAGATGTCCACCTGGCTTGCTGACATTCCTCTGAAGTCAACAGGCCAGCCAGCTTTGGAAGCCTATCCAAAACCTGCTGCCCTGTCCATAAAGAAGCCTGCCAACACCTTTTAAGAGATGCCAGTGATCCTGGAGGCAGCATCCCTGCAAAGTTCTGAGAGCTGAGTGAGGGCAGCAGAGCCCTGACATCCCTGGCTGCAGAGAGCCGGCGCTCCCTGAGCCTCCCGCCCCTGCAGGGGCACAGCTGCCCTGCCCAGTCACCTCAGCCCCCAGTGCCAGGGAGCAATGCTGACAAACAGCTCCCTCGGGCTCCTGGGAGCTCTGCAGTGGTGTCACAGCTCCACAGCCTCAGCTCACTCCCCACGAGCTCTGTGTCGCAGGGCAGAGAAGGAGCCGCCCATTCTTGCCCACTGCTGGCTCAGGGAGCAGCACTGTTTGGAGCCATTTCCTAAATGGATCCTTTAATCCTCAGTGTCATTTTCTCTAAAAGCAATGCTACACACAACACAGGAAGTGAGTGTGTCCAACATTGCTTATGTGGGATATTTTTAGAAATAGGAATAAAGCGGATCTGTTGAGTTCCAAATCTTCTTTTTTAAAGAAATACACATATAAGTGGAAAATGACCCTGTGATTGCATCCACAGCTGAGTGCTCAGGGGAGCTCTGTATGTTCCCACTACTGCCTACACGAGAAGAAACAAACATCCCTATAAATGCTTTTACTTCTGCAACATTCTGTCTCCATCTTTCATCCTGCAGGATTAGAACAAGACACGAAGCTGTGAAAGGTCTACAATAATGTGCTGGAAAAATAAAAGCTTGTTTTCAAAATGCATAGGCACAAAAAATCCCCTGTGTACTCATGGGGCTTCCTCTAAACAACCAGAAAATAATATTGTTTCATAAATTAAAAAGTGATTGGACCAAGGAAGTTCCATGAGTAAAAATGCAGCAGCTTCACACTGAAAACACAGGATAAACAAATTATAGCAGGCTGGAGGAAGTCCCCACTTCTGGTTGGTGTGAAGCAGGGATATTATGTTGGTATAATCCCAAAGTGTTTGAGGTGAAGTACTTCTCAAACCACATAATCTCGCCCTTCCCTTTGTCCTAGGCACCCGTATAAATATTGTGCAGTATGGAGTATGGAAAAAGTGTATTAGTTTTTTCCCAGTCATACATGAGGATTGAGAAAGAACAAGTTTCCTGACCTCTATTCCTGCTGTTTATCACAGAATCACAAAGTATTCTGAGCTGGAGGGATCCACAAGGATCACCCTTCCTCTTTCTAAAATCCCCTAGATATCATTCCATCCATTCCCCAAAACTCCTATGGATTTCACTGCAGTGGAAACTTTTCACACCGTATCTACACATTGTGAAACAAAAACATTTATTACTGTGACAACAGAATTGCCAATTGCAGAAAGCAACATGTCTATGCAATTGCACATTGTTTTGGCACTATAGAAAATGTGTTCCTCGTTCTCTTTTCAAATACATTTGAGTTTCTAGATGTAGCATTCCAGAGCCTGTGTGACTGCTAAGTGTTGCAGTGGGCTATAGCAAGCACCTGTACTTGAATACTGCACTTTCTTTCATTAGCAGATACTACCTAGGTGCATATAAATATCATATTAATTATGAAAGAAGTGTTGAGAACATATTAATAAGATTTAAACACTGAGATTTAATTTACAGGGCTTACTCCAGCTTCATAGGAGAAGCAATGTTCTATATTCAGAAGAATTAAAGCTTCAATTTAAAAATACAAGTTTAGCTTTAGGCACCAAACAGAATATATGCCAGTGAGAGGGAAGGTGGGAGAAGAAAAATGGAAAACAGCCTAGTTTATTCCTAAAGATACTCCATAGGCACATTCCCACCAAGCTGTTTAGAGTCTCCCAATTAACTGAGGTTACCAGTTAGCCTCATAACAATCACCTCTCACTAGTCAGAAGAGGTCACTAGAAGCTGGTGGCAATTCAATGAAAATGCTTCATGAAGAGCAGCTGGTGAAAGGCTGCTCAGATATCCAGTGTGGATCTCAGAAGGGACCCTGGGCACATGTGGCACTGAACACATGAATGTGAAGAGTTCACAAGTGACATGTGAGCCACTGTAGCAGACTCATGAACAATTCTTCTGGCTCCTTTTTGCTCACAGCAGAGCCCAGTGACATTTCTGTGAAAGACTCTGATCTCAGGGGGCTTTGAGAGAAAGTCTTAGTGCTTTACACTGTTGGGTGCTTAGTAGTGTAAATTAGCAGCAGGTATCTTTTAGAATTCATTTCAATCTCGCCACTTTGGTCTCTGAACTATTTCCATTGCATATATTGAGTTTTCTGTGCAACTGCTTACCATCAGCTGCTTCATCTCCTCCAAAGTTCTGTCTGTAGAACAGCATTAACTCTATGTTGTAGCACTTATAGATGGTCACAAGCAAAATAAGCAGAAGAAGGATGGCTCCCAGTCCTCCAGCAAGCTCTATTTTGTAGATCAAATCTAAAATTAGCAAGGAAAGGGAAAAAGGGTTATGATCTTTCCAAGCTATATTTTCTCTAACCCACCGTACAATTCCACATAAAGTTGTGCAGCTTTCAATTATAACCACTGTAACATTAAGAATGCCTAATAATTTTGTTCATTACCTATTACTTAATTTTACTCATTTACTCCATCTACTGCCCATCTGAAACAACCATCTGAAATCCAGAATGCATTTGAGGCCATATATGTAAATCTCCTACACAGGAACTATGTAGTGATTTTATGCAGAGGGGTAACCAACTTTTATTGAGCTGGTGGAGTTTGAAACGTGTGCATTGGCAGAGTGCATCAAATGCTGCATGCAGCATGTGAGAACAGATTGGGCAGGATCTAGTCCCTCCCCCACCGAATTAGACAGCTTTGGTTTTATATTTGTGAAGCCTGTGGACAAGCTGATGTGAGCTGCCAAGCCATGGCTTCAGCTGGATCACTGGAAAATGAGCTGAGCTTGCAGGAAGCCCAAGATAACACAAGAGTCCAGGAGCACACATCAGGCTGCAAGGAGACATTTGTTTGTGATGGCTGCTAACAGAGTTCTCACATGTTTGTAGAGTTCACATTATACTTTAATGGGACCTAGTGTTAGTTAAAATTTCCTACACAGATGCTTTTATTAGGAAACATCACAAGAACTCAAAGAACTTCACAAATGCATCCAGACACAGTGATCTATCTCTTACAGCTGGGGAAACAGGCTTAGAAAATAGAAGCAGCATGTTTTCAAGGTCATTCAGCAAACCAGTGACAAAATGGGACAAAACCCCTTGGATACCAGTCCAGAGCTCCATCTGATGCAAGAGAACAGCATTGCTCTTTATCCTGAAATGTCCTCTGAAAGTAATATTGCTCCTAACACCACCTGGCATATTACTTAGCCATAAAAGACAGAGGATGACAATTTGACTCTCACAGCCTGTATTAGTTCAGATAAGACGTCATGAAGATATTGCTGCTGTGACAAACACAGCGAGAAGTTGCCAAACTAATACAGGAGGGACAAAGCTTTTGTGATCTTTACACTTCTAAAACTTAGGTCAGAAAATATTACTCGTATGTCGCTTGTGTAACTTTCAAGATAAAAAGCAAATTAGTTGCGTATCTTTGGGGGTTATTCTTGCCTCGCCATGCCTTGTATTTCAATAATTAACATCAGATGTCAAGCTATTCCCAGTCCACAGTATCTCTGATGTCTGTCTGGCAAGAAGTCATGGACTAATAGATGGAAAAAGTCTATTATAATAGCTACTTAATCTCTCTGAGAACACAGGGAATTCATGGGACTTCTACTACACTGCATGATAAAGCTGCATGTGCTCTGGGGGATAAATCTAGGCAAATGGAGAACAGAGTCGGTTAAAATCACTTTTGAGGGGAAGTTTTTTTTAAATTATATTGAATCTTTTTTTGCTAGGAAATTTAGATGATGGCAAAGCTGCCAGCTTGGAAGGAAAGAAAATGCTGAGCCTTGCAGCCCACACAGAAGCACAGAGTTGTGTACACTTTTGGTGGGGGGAATGGCAGGGTATTAGGCAATCCCACAAAATCCAGCTCAAAAGGCAAAATTGATCAGCTTTTACATGTCCAGTATTTGTCCTTCTGCCCCATGAACCCTCCTAGAGGACAGACATAAGGAGGCAGAAAGCCAAGGCTTTTGAGCTCTCCTTATTTCCATTCCAAAGTGGAGGCAATGAGAAAAACCCAGGATGTTCAATTTTCTTGCCTACTCTACTTAGTCTTGGCATCTGATTAATTCCTTCCTCCTCAAGTGGTCCTCATTGAGACAAATAAGGAAGCAGCATATCCACCACTAGAAAAGAAGCTGAATCTCATCTCTGTGCTGTAAGAGTGACTGAAAAATAGCTAATAATATTGATAGTTTCTAATATAAAATAATGTAGAAGGACCTTGCCACAACATATTACACATAGTACAGAAGATCATGGTCCTTAAAATAGCAAAAGCCTCATAAATACTCAATAAATGACAGACAACTATGTTTTAGAAGTTCCTCATAATTCACTGATGTATCAATATCAAACCCAACCTCCTAAAATTAGTTCCTTGCATGTCTTAATTAAAGGCAGCCTCCTTGAAAAAATAGTGAGGAAAAGTCATCATAATATTTACTTTTATCTCAGTTCACTACTTCTTGCCACTAAAAGCATGGTCTGACTTTATTCTGTGGTTTCTGACAAGTTATTTATCTTTCAGAATAGTTCTATTATAGACTATGTAGACTTCAGTCACTAAAATGCTGGACTGTTTTCAAACCCTTTTGAAGGGAATCCTGAACTATTCCCACAACTAAGGGACAGCTGGGTGTATATTGCATTTCCATGTTATTTGAGCACCAAATATGCTATGACAGCCCAGAGGAAAAAAAAAAAAGAAAAAAAAAAAGAAAAAGAAAAAAGAAAAGCAAACCAAACCCAGGATTGTCCAGAAAATTAAGGCAGTAAAGAAGAATGTGACAGCAGACAGTTATGTTCAGGTCTTAGGAGCATGTCTGATTCTGCCTTTGCATTGGAAGCTTAAGAGTTCTAAACTGGATTTGGTTCTTTTTCAGGTGAAAACCTCCAACAATAAAAATAATCCTAAATGATGGCAATGTTCTGGGGCTACTGCTACACTGGAGCTCTGCAAACTCCTGTATTCTCCTGAAGGTTTGTGGGGACTGTACCAGTAATACAGCAAAAGACTTTAATATACTTTCCCTGAAACTCTTGAACAGCCAATTTTTCTTTTTTTTTTCAAAGCAAATTATGTGCTAAAAATAACCATCTGATGTCAAAACAAGAACTCTAGAAAATCTTATACAACATCTACAACTTAGATTTTGGGTTTATTCCTGTTTTTCATCCAAGCCAGGAAAAAACAGAACAGAAGGCAGGTCTAGAGACAAAACAGAACTACAAGTGCCTCCTGTCAAACATGGATAATGCAGCTCTTGACAGGTAAGATCTTGGAGGGAGGGGGAATTCTCTAACTGAGAGATCTGTGCTGCAACACACTGCAGTAGAAATCCCTTCTTTGACACGAAGGATGCTGGTCAACAGCTTTCTGCAAGTTCTGCCCTAAATCTTGTCCTGGCTCAGTAAATACAGTAGTATTTCCTGACTCATGAATATCTAGAGTAAAATCTAAAGCAGAGAAAGTTAGGATAAGAAGCAATTAAATCAAGTTCCAGAAAGGAAAAGTTTGGTCAAGTATTTGTGAGAACTTAATAAATAACAAACAGGACAATGGGACAGGCAGTCAAAGGACACAGTAAAATACAGTGGTTATTTTAAATGACACTTTAATAGCTTGAAAATCAACTACTGAGAGTGCCTGAGGGGAATATAAGTTTTCTACAGCCACAGCGCAGAGAGAAATGAAATAGTAGCTGCAAAGTGATCCTTTCCACCTCCAAATTCTGTATTCAGCAGTGCTTCTTCCATAATTTCAGCAGAGCTCTGAAATATCTGCATTTTTTTGTTATAAATAAACCTAGCTTGTTATTCTACTATATGCATGCAGAACATTTACCAGTGCCAACAGAGATATACTTACTTACTATCAGTTTTTTATTTATGAGGTTCAGTGGAAGGAAAGGTAGAATGCTTTTTGCGTTCTAGAGAGACTAATCCTTCACCATGATGATCAGATTCACTAATTAAAGTTGTGACAACCTGTCAGTTTAGATCATAGAATTGTAGAATTGTTTTGGTTGGAAAATACCTCCCAGATGATTGAGTCCAGCCATTAACCTGGCACTGCCAAACCCACCACTAAACCATGTCCACACCTCCATGGCTTTCAAATCCCTTCAGGGATGGTGATTCCAGCATCCCCAGATCCTTTGTCACCTGGCAGCTTTTCAGCTCCTCTGCCCCAGCCTGAAGCTTGCTGTGACCCAAGAGCAGGACCAAGCATTTGCCTTGTGGAACCTCATACAATTGGCTTCAGCCCACGGATCCAGCTGGTCCAGATCCCTCTGCAGAGCCTTCCTGCCCTCCTGGATGTAAGTTTGTAGTAGATAGTAGCATGATCTGATAGATCAACATTCCTTTATTCCAACTTTGCTGCAGTGAAAGCACACAAAGGACTGGAACTGCCCTTTCAGGTTTGCCTCATGAAAACAATTCTTCTGTTTTGGCACAATAATTCACGTCCAAGAATGATGGCAGAGATCTGGACAATGTATCAACTCTTAAGTCAATCTCCTGTGCTGATGTTCTGTGGTCTCGTGGAACCCTCCTCTGCTTTCCCAACAATTACTACCTTACAGCTTTTGCATTTCCTAATACATTGTATCTCAGAGAGCTCAGCATCAATGTCAGCCTACTTATGAATAGGAGAGCTGATTGAACAAACAACAGAAGAACTGCCGTGAGATACTGTTACACTCCTTTGATAATGACTTTTTCAAACACAGAACACAGTAGCACTTTTAAATTTGGCACAATCAAATCCAAAGGGTTTCCTTTCTCCTATAGATAATTTGTCAGTAGCGGTGTTCCCCATTCAGGAATAGCATAAAGCAAGACAACCATGATGGGGTAAGTCTCCATGTATTTGTAGCTTCCACTGCATGTTTTCATTCCTGATGAAGTTAGAAATCAAGATGCATGGAGACAGCTTAAAGTTTTCAATTTAAAACACAAAGCCAGGAAATGGAGAAAGATGAGAACATCTGCTATACTGCCAGGGAACCTGTTCTAAGAAATGTACGTTTTAACTGGCCTAGTCAGTCAATTCTGGGTCAAATTCATAGATTGTTTAGTCCAAAATACTTCTCCTGATTCTTGGTGTCTTATGGGTGACTGTATTCCAGGGAAGTGCATCACCTGCAAGGCCAATTTGCCAGACATCGAAGAACAATGCATTACTTTGTTCTTCCACAAATGGTAAACTGAAGCTGTACACAAGCACACTTCAGCTCCAAGCAGGCACACACTAATCCAGCCTGGCTCAGAGGGGTCAGCAGGACCTGTGACTGAGGTGTTGGTGAGGCAGGTGAGGTCACAGATAACTAAAAAGGACAAATTACCTTTTTTGCGCAGAAGAACACTGGCATGTTTCCGTCCATTTCTGTTCTCCACGTGACATGTGTAGTTAGCCAGGTCTGCCTCCTCTACAGCATCAAAGATCAATGTCAACTCAACTTCTTTTTCTCCAAGATGTTCTCTGAGGAGTCTGAAAGGAAGGATAGAGCCTTTGCTTTAACTGAATTAATACAGATGGCAGATTCCCAAAAGCACTATATTTCTCAGCAAAACACCAATGTTCCTTGGACTCCTTCACTTCTGGAGAAGGACCTAAAAGGAGACTCATGTTGGCTGAAAGAGGCTTCACAGAGGCATTTTTCATGACCACCAGAAGGCTTTTTCTCTTGCCTGTCTAGTAAGGAGCTGAACCAAGTGCAGGAAGAGTGGCCATGAGCACAATGGTTATGAGTGGCTTCTTTACCTTGGCTCCATCAGAATTAAATGCTAAAAACAATGCTTCTTTTAAAAGAAGTGACAAATACCCATTTTCCAGAAGCAGGATGTGCCACTAAGCCATCAGTGAACAAATTACAGGGCAATTTAAAGGCTGGGTATTGTGATACATTTTAATTCAGTCTGGAAAATCAACAAAAAGAGCTGTGCTACTCTCTGAAATTTTCCTCTATTTCCTGGAGCTAGATCCTGATTTTTGAGGGAAAGTGTCAAGAAGAAGAGCCCTCTGCTCCTTTGGAGGAAAGAGGAGACATGCAAAATCCCCATAAATGGAAAAAAAGTTCTAGCAGACTTTCAGGACAGAGGTATAGCCTTTTCATGTCATTGTTCTTATGTTCTTATATTAAAAGGAATGCAAAGTAAATTCAAGTTTTCTGCTGCTGACATGAAGTGTAAAAATACAATACCCTATTCTGTTGAAAGGCTTATCACTTGCTCAAGAAAATGTTGCTGCTCCTTTAAACAGGGAAATGTAACATCAAGTGAAATGCACCGGGTTAATTTGATCCTGTTTGTGTAATGCTGCACAAGAGGGTAAATAGAAAACGTGGGGTGCCCTCACAGACACCTGTCAGCTCACCACTGTACATGGTACTTCAGTGAGTCTGCTCTCTGAAAAGACTGTGTGCAGCACTGTGAGGTAAATGTATAAATAAAAGTCAAGTTCACAAAAAAAAAATATTTTCTCCCAAGACTGAGAGGAGGAAACTGGACAGGAAGTAATGAACCAAAGTGCTCCTTCTCTGGATGGAAACTGCTGCTGGAGACATTCACATGTGTCAGTAATGGTAAACTCCAAGTTTCCCTATTATAAACCAAGGACATTTTGTGTACACACATTTCCTTATGTATGTGATTTCACATGACATCCATGGAACTCCAAACAAATTGAAAACAAATCAAAAAATCAGTCAACAGCTGATTGAACATGAGCCAGCAGTGTGCCTTGGTGACCAATGGCCTGTAACAGGAATAGTGTGGCCAGCAGGAGCAGGGAGGTCATTCTTCCCCTGCACTCGGCACTGCTGAGGCCACACCTTGAGTGCTGTGTCCAGTTCTGTCCCCTCAGTTTAGGAAGGACCTTGAGACGCTTGAGCGCGTCCAGAGGAGGCAACGAGGCTGGGGAGGGGCTTGGAACACAAACCCTGTGAGGAACGGCTGAGGGAGCTGGGGTTGTTCAGCCTGGAGAAAATGAGGCTCAGGGGAGACCTTGTCACTCTACAACTTCCTGAAAGGTGGCTGTGGTCAGGTGGGGTTGGTCTCTTTCTCCAGGCAGAATGAGAGGACACAGTCTCAAGCTGCACCAAGGGAAATACAGGCTGGGTATCAGGAAAAAGCTTTTTATGGAAAGAGTGATCAAATACTGGAATTGTCTGCCTGGGGAGGTGGTGGAGTCACCATCCCTGGATGTATTTTAAAAAAGACTGGATGTGGCACTTGGTGCCATGGTCTAGTTGAGGTGTTAGGGCATGGGTTGGACTCGATGACCTTGAAGGTCCCTTCCAACCCAGTCATTCTGTGACTTCTGTGAAAAGAGAAGTATGAGGGCATTGCACCAGACAATCAGAAATGCAAGCCTGACTGCTATAAACACATCTCTGCAGTAACTCAGAAGAGGCACCAAGCATCTACAACAACTTAGCCTCTTCCACTGTGGCAGCATAACTTGCAAAAAAGCAAGTGGAAAAACATTAGTTTAAAAAACTACATGTGTGTGTGTTGCATTTGGAAACTTGGATTGCATCTTTTTTTTTTTTTTTCTCCCTTCAAATTAATTCTCATTGATTATACACTTTTTTTTCTTTTTTCTTTTTTCTCTTTTTTTAAATTCTGGTCCAGAGCCCAAGTGGTGAAATAATGGAAGAAAGGTTGAATTTGCATAGTTTCTGGCCAGAAGAAAACCTCCTCAGAGAGCCTGGTCCGTTTGCATACTCAGACTAAATGACTGGGAGTGAAATAAATCAATTCTCATTTACTGATTATTCTCCTATATCTATACAAAGACTCAGGAAAGCCACTCTTCTCTGCTGGTAAACAGCATGCCCAATAACTTTTGGTCTACAAATCATGCTGCAAGGAACAGTGTAATCATCAACAGAGAAGATACCTGGGAAACTAATCTGGAGAATTCTGTGAATGTTCAGATTTTCTTGTTTACTGCAATCAGGATATTTTACACAGAAAGAAAAAAGAAGACATGTCAAGATAAAAGAAACTGTTATTTTTATCTATATCTAAACTACATGTATGTAAAACAGAATAACTGACCCTTCACCTAAATTTAAATTATACATGATCAGCTAAAGAGGAGCTTTCATAAAAAAAGAATAGCCAATATATTTGGATTGAGACTTTTTTTCCTACTTATCTTCTAATAGCAATTTTTAGCAAGGGAATTCTTTACAGTGGGATCTATCATGAAAATGCTGACAAACTTTTAAGCATTATGCTGGCAGCAAAGTGTAAAAAGCTCTTTGTGGTGTTAAACCTTTCGTTCCTGCTTTTTAATTTTTTTTTTTCTTTTAACCATTACTCTACACTTAGATTATTGCCATAGAAATGCAGTTTGTCACCTGCATTTTTTAATACATATGCAGCCCTTAATTAATTGCATTAGTTAATTAATTGTTGTGGTTGGTTCAGAGAACATGGAGCACAATATTTTTGGGTTAGAAAAGGAATATAATATCAACAAATAAGACCTTAAAGGTGCAACAGCATTTGCTGCACACTCAGAAGATGAAGCTCTTGACCCCATCTGAGGTGGGGGAAACTTCAGCAGCATCACTGTCAACACATGCCAGCTCCCACAAGTGGAGAAAATAATAACTCACTCTTTCTGGGTTGCTGAACAAACTGTAAGAGTAATTACAACATTTAATGCATAGCTAAATCAATGGTGCTTGACAACTCACAACAAACAGAATGGAAAGAGAGAAATAAAAGGTGGGTGATACAAAAACAACACTTTTAGTGCTGTCTTTTTCTTCAGGTTGAAGCATTTTATCTGATCTGAAACAAAACATTTTGTCTAGTGAATAATTTTCAAGTAAGAATATGAATTTTAAAAAGGAAGTGTCATTACAGAATAGAAATGCTTTCTGTGAAAATTATGAAATGGTTTGGATTTTTCAAATCATTGGTCATATTTTTCCAGTGCCTATCTGCACTAAGTTGAATCTGAATTTAAAACACTTTTACTTTGAGACCGTATTTTCCTAAACTTTTCTTTGTATGACCACAGATAACAAAGCCATACAAAAGCTTCACTTTGGTCACTCTGCAGGATCAAGGAATTAATTTCAAATCTTTACTAACTGCATGAGAGCTGGGACTTAGCAAAAAGGAAACTTTCATTCTTTATAAAGCTGATGATCTGGACTGTGAACAGGGTTATGAAGTCTGCTCCCTTCCTTCTAACTCCTCAACAACAGGCTGCAGATGAAAGGACAGATCTGTGTGCACACAAGCTCCTCTCCAAAGCAAAGTCATTCCACTGGTAGCACAACAGTGACCTCCCCTCTCACCTCCCTGCATTGTGTTTCTTGCTCTCTGACTTGAATTTGTCTCATTGAGTAGTATAAGCTTTTCAAGAGAGGGCTGTTGCTTCCATACTTCACTGCAAAGTACCCAGCACATTATCCAGGCAGCCATGGGAGCTCTGCCTCCTGCCCCCAGCACCCCCTCCTAACAGAAAACAACATCCTCATCTTGTCTGAGTGTTTCATAACCATCCATTGACTCCTGTGGGTGATAAATCAACCAGAAGAAATAAGGCTGCCATTCAAAATGTCCCCATTCACCTTTTTTCATGCCTCTAGGATGAGTTAAACTATTTCTACTTTAAAAATGGACAAGAGAGACAAAACAAGGGCAAACATATTTTACAAGATGAGCGTTATGACTATTCTGCAGTACTTCCTGAAGAAGAAAAAAAGCAACTCATAGGTGGCTGAGAGAGCAATATTTATGTCTGAAAATACTTTGCCATGGCAGAGAGCTGGTGTTGAAATTTGCTGTGGGCTGCTTTGATAATTAGGTACAAGTGAGAACTCTGCAGACATGCTTAAAGACTCTGATTCCTTCTTTAATAACTCCGGTTCAATTTACATGACATTTTTATTACTGCTGTGAAAAACCCATCTGGCAAGCAAAGTTTCTTCCTCCTTTCCCCCCATGCATGTCTAACCCCTGGGGATCTTAATTCAAGGGAAGCCAAGGGGGCAGCTCAGACAGGGAATCGTTGCCTCCAAGCCTTGCAATGCTGATGAGTTACTTTTTATTATGAGGCTTTGTAAAAAGGCCTAATAAATACTGAGGAGCCCAGAGCTACACAAATATTACTCGTGGTGAAGTGTGCTTACTAAAACCCAGTTCCACGGATTTGATATGAACAGGAAGGCTCAGGTTACATGCATCCTTATTTTAGTGCTTCCAAGGCAGCACAGTGAGTGCTAAGCACGCACACTGAGGATGGGTGGTTTGTGCTTCCAGACATCATCCATTTGCAAACCTGGACTCTCATCATACACAGAAAATCTAGCAACACAATGGATGGGCACAGTCCAGTGTAAGGACAGCACCATAAATTCAGAGTGCTACTAAATTTGTGAACCAATTCAAGATAGGGGATGCAGAGTTAAAGTGTGCCAAAGGGACAGCCCGTGGAGTATCTTGTTCTGGCTGTAACAATTCTGCACAACTCTTAGCTTCTTAAAATGAAATGTCCTGGTAACACCATAGAGAAGCAAACTGATGAAAAAGGCATCTAACCAGCAAGTTCACCATGGCTCATCAAATTTGAAACACACATGACAATTTTTAAATACATCAATAAATACAACTGGGTGGAAGATGTGGGCTGCCTCAGGGCACTGACAGAATAATTAGTGCTGCTTAGCTCCCCTGAAAGCAGCATACCTGTAATGGAACACAAAAACAAGAGCTGTTACAGACAGAAAATCTTTTGCAAAAAGTTACCACTTCAGTTGCCATAGAGATACTTCTAAATAAAAAAGGGATGGACTGGGGCACTGCTGGTAATGATGCAGTATGTTTTGGAAAATGCTGTTTTAAATGCTGGCAGCGATCACAGGAGATTAGGTATGGGATAAGTAGCATTCCTGAAGAGAAGATTCACTGAATTGTGAAGGGTCTGTAAACTTACTCAAAGCACTTTAGTGGAATGAGAAAAGCGACTTGTCACAAATTAATTTGAAACATGAATGTGCAATGAGATGGCAGAACAAAGGACAAGTAACAGCCTTTTCAAACTCAGTTTCACTAATAAATGTACATAAGGGAGAAGTTTTGAACTGCACTAAAGCTGGAGCACTCTTTAAATACAAACCTCAGATTCTCCTGATGCAGAGGAAGAACACGACCAAAATCACTCTGTTTATATATATACACACCAGAGAGAACACGATGGCAATTAAGTGCTGATTACTTAAAAAGGCAAAAGTTTCCAATAATTGCTTTTTGTGATCAGAAGCACAAAAGAGGACTGGACAATGGCAATATAAGATAAATTTCATCTGTGTGCAATTAAGTGTATCTTAACCACTCGTGACTAAATGGCTGAACTTCACATTATTGATCCAGTAATAAAGCAAAGGAACCTCTTTCCTCTTGCTCTCCAAAATCACCTTTACAAAAACCAAAAAAATCAGACATGAGATTAAAAAAATGTGCACTGGAAAGCGAAACGGCCTTGACTTTCTTTATAATCCATTTTTATTGTATCATAATTTATATTCATTGTATCTATAGGAGCCAGGGACCACCTTGTCCATAGTATAACCATGACTTAGGTCTTTGCTCAAAGAACAATAATCAGTAATTATTAAGGAAGAAAATAAGGTGCTGTTAGGTGCAAATTCCATGAGAGTTCATGGGGACAGAAGTGTGTTTTCTTTACATCAAGTGATAACCAGCAATTGGGAAAAAGCCAAGTACAAGTTGGATATTGAACAGCCACTCCTTCCTCTCCCTTATATGTTAAGCCTGGAGGAACAAACACTGTTTCTGGAAGGCTCTGGTTAAGGCACACTGAGAGCTGTATCACACACACACACCACACTCAGGAGAAAAGTGTGGTGGCTTTGACAGGAGACCATTTGTCTTCAAGGTGAACAGTGGTGCTGAAATGGATGTTATTTTGCCAAGGCAGGTCCCACAGCATGGCTGCAGTGGACAGCACCATTCCCACACAGGGCTAAAATCAACCCCCAGAACACTCAGGAGATGCTTCAGCTGCCAGCCATCAGGGGAATTTGGTAACACATGTTCAGTCACATACACAAACTACTCCATCTTAGAGTGTACTTGCTACAAAGGAGAGAGAGAGAGCAACTCACAGCCCTGGCTCCAAGTCATCCATCAGGCTTTGGACAGAAAATTATTTCCACTTTCAATTAAAAACTTGTCAATCCAACAGATTTGTGGGACATACAGTATTTTTAACTGTAAATAATCCAAAAAGTACCTGACTTCGCCTTCTCTAATGTGACCTTCTAATTCTTCTATGAATTTTTCCCCTTTCATCCAGTAGATCATGGGGCCTGATTCTCCACTGAATCCAAAGAAAGCTTTGCAGGCCACAGTCAGTGGATTTCCTGAGGACAAAATGAAAAAAGAAGATTAGAGACTCTGTCATAGCAACTAGTGAGAAAATTATTATAGGAAATATCAACACCTCAGATAAACCTCCTTATGAAAAACTGAAGAGGGAAAAAGAGAGAAAGAACAACTGTAAGTCATGGGAAAAAGAGTGATGTTGATTTGCGTCTATAGGAAAGAGCTGTAAAATGAAACTCTCAGATTATCCATAATTTAAATTTTTCTTGAAAAATACTACATGAACAATGAGAAGGTATGGAAATAGTGGCAACATAAGGTGACACCACACTGGTTGCTAAAAAGAAAGAGGTGATTTCCCTGTCAGATTCCTTGGATCTCTACCAGAACCAGAGATTTGTCCCTAAAAGTTGGTAAATCACTGAATGACTGCTTCTTATCCACCCATAAAAAGACAGAGGAATAATTTCTTCCTCTCTTAGATAGAAATCAAATGTTAATCAGGCCTTGGAGCTGCTCAGAGGGCTTTTAAATATCCCCAAGAAATACATGATGCCAGTCAGCCCAACACTGGTGTTACTGTCAACAGGCTTTTGGCTAAGGACCAAACTTCAAAGCATTATTCAAGCAATAGAATAAAGAATTCTCCCTTTCACCTCTGCAAAGATACTTCCAAAAAAAAACTAAAACAAAAAAAACTTGGAAATGAGTCAAATTTCTTTTCAAAAATTCAACATTTAACTGGGTTTTTGTTTGGCTACAGTTTTAATTGTTCTAGGTAGCCCAGGACTGTGCTTACATTGCAAGCACAGATGATTGTCTGCTAGCAGAAGAAAACAAAAGAAAAAAAAAAAAAAGAAAACAAAACGAAACCACAAAGACAAACAAAAAAAAACCCAGAAAAACCTCAACAAGTCAGGAAATTTGGAAGAACCATGCCCATTCCCTCGGGATGCACACAGAGCTGCTGCCCCCACTTTTCTCTGCCTGTTTTAGTTCACATAGGTGCTCCGGGTTATGGAGCAGGTGTAGAATCAGCAACTTCGGTGGGAGAACAGACCTCATTTAATGTCAGTGGAGACTCCTGCTTGAATCTTTAAAGGATCACATATGGAAAGCATAAATAATGAATTTTACTGTATCAGAAAGAAATGTTTTATTATGTCAGGCATTCTCCATGTCAGCAGGAGACCCTCTTGGCTGAACCAGAACAGGCCTACACTTTTCAAGGAGGGGCCAATCATTTGGAGCACAGCACTTGGTTGAGCATGGGCTAATGGCTTCCCATGATTGACTTACTGTGCCTTAATCATTCACCTCTTGTGTGCCCAGGAGTGATAACTTGCTGTGTGCAGACTCAACCAGAGCTGTGTAAGTGCCTTTGCCTAAACCCCCAGAGTGCTGAGTCAACTACTTGTACTTGTCTAGCTATTATTTCAGTGCCCAATTTAAGACATGTCTAAAGAGTCTGATTAGTCAGGAAGCACAGCAATCCCAGCCTCGGAAAATCAGCCGCCTTTAAATTGTTTCCAAGTCAAGATCCAAAATTACAAGTCCTTTGAAACATTAGGATACAGCAAGAAAAGATTTAAAGGCTGTACTTGAGTTTCTGTTTCTCAAATAGCAAAAGACAAAAATGGAAAATGTTTATCCTGAAAATGTTTTCCAGACTCTTTCATTATCTCCATATTCACGATGAACTCTGGCACCACAGCTGGCCCCTGAACATGTGGAGATGCTGGCAGATTGCACAACTAGACCAGACATGCAAAAGAAGAAGGTGTGGATATTCAGTTATCTGCCCATCCCACAACACTGACAACCATTAGACAAAGTTCCAAACTTCACTAACTAAATGAAGAGTCAGAAACACTTCTAGGCATTTATTTAACTCCACCACAAGCTCACCCACCCCTGTGAGGTGCTGTGTGTCCTCCATGGGTGAAGGGGACAGCTGGAGCCTCTGGCTGTATCCACCTCACCTTTTCCCAACACACTGAATGCCTGCATGGTGTGAGGTCTTTTGTGCTACTTGCCTTGGAGTCACCATACACATCTTTTTAAATACCACGTGGTGATTCCTAGCATGTGGCTGCTCAGTCCATGCTTGATATTAATGGAAAAAGACATTGTAGCAATGTGAAAAAGAAAAGGGATAGACAAGGCCTATCAGCATTGACAGTATTTGCCCTTTTCCTGGCACACCATGCTGGACATTAAGTGTTACAGGCAAAATATCTTACAGAATGTGCTTTTCCTCAAACCAGCAGATTTTTACTTAAAAAACAAGCCCTGAGAAATGAAAGTATTCCAAGGTGAGACTCAGATTTCTATACATGCAGAGTAAATACCCTGAGGTAAAAAATGTCTGGTTTGAAGAAATAAGAAGATTTCTACACAGACACGAAAACTTAAAAACCCCAGCTGCTGGTAGACAGCTTCTGTAATAAACAAACTCAATATAAAGCATCAGGAACTTTTACCATGACAACCTGCATGCTCTGAATGTGCCTGGGCAGATCTATTTCCTAGCTCTGCCACCAGGGAAACAAGCAAAATAAATACCATAAACAGGAAAATCTGGAGTTACTTGACATCCTCAGCTCAAAGTTTGGTACTGGCAACACCTGAAAAACCCCATAGTCCATCTCACCTGCAAACTCAGCACTGATCAGAGGGTGGCATAAACAACTTTTTCTCATGGAACAACTAATTTTTATCTCAGTAGCAGAATGATGCAGGTCTGGGTTGACCTGATCTGTCCTGGAGTAGAAAGAACTTGGGGCCTGATGATACTTCAAGGGCTCATCCAAATTCAAATTGTCACTTGCAGTTTTGATACTCTTCAATCTGGTAAGGACATCTCACTCTTCTATAGCTGTCTAAAACAGCTTCTGGTTTATAAATCTCATCACTCCTTTTGCCTCTGGAAGTGGGACACCATCAGAAAGGTAACACTGATTTCCTTGCAGAACCACTTCATCTTCCAAAATAAGCCTCCATATGGAAAAGTAAGGGAGATTTCTCCCCTCCTGCTCCATCACCACACAGCTACAGCAGCAACCTGTTACTACTGGTTTTCAGGGAACTCCAACCAATTCCCATCCAGAAAGGAAAATTGCATATTTCACTACATTTTCCCCCAAATAGTACTGCAGTACTAAAAATGAGGCTGAATTCTGTGGTGCCTAAATGCATCCTTGAATATGCAGAGAAACAGGCTCTGAACATGGAAAGTGGCCCTTTGCAGGTCCTGGTTTTAGGGCTGGATTCAAGCCATGCAATATTACACTGAGCCACAGTTCCAGGCAGAAGGAACTAGCAGGCAATTTGTAAGTCCAACAGTTTATCCTGTGTGAGTCCTAAACTTCTGCACATCATTACTGCTACTCTGCAAGACCTTCAGTAGTTTCACTACTAATGGTCTTATTAAGAAATATTTCCCCTGCATTAACAACATTAATTAACAACATCAAAATTTCTAGAATGAATACTATCCTAGAAGTTTTCAATTTACAGGTGGATTCTGTTGATATCAGACAGACATTTCAGATGCCCTTTTACTCAATAAAATAATTTGCTCAGAAACATAAAAAATTATTAGTGAGTTCCTAATGAATGAACAGTTAAGACAGTGTTTGAAGAAACGAGGAAAGAAAGTAGAAAAACTTGTTTGCAGACATCACTGAGTGTTCTGCTTTGCTGGGGTCTCCTTGATACAGTAAAGGACCAGGTTCAGCAGAAGTTTCTGCTTTAGCTTTTCTTCCGACCTTGTCAGTCAAGCAGGCTTGTTGCAAACTCCCAGATGATTAAGATAAAACCACTGGCAGTAAAAAAAATTATTGCTAAATCTTATTGTACAATTTTCATCTGTCCATTTTCACAGTAAATCTGTGTGAACTCTACTGTACACTCAACTTTTTTTTTTTTTTCTGGCAAACAGAATTCCATGTAAGTGAAATTATTTAAGCAAAAGAGCTGTCTGATGGTGGTAGGAGCACTGGCTAATGATGGAAAAAGGGTCTGCAAATGAATTTAGTCAGGAATGGTTCAGAATGTGCTTAATGCAGGGCCAACATGCTTTGACAGAGAACCACAAATTCTGCAGCACAGTTTCTCTTAAATGAGACATGCTTCAAGCATACAGTGAACAAAGCTTAAAACATCTAAAAGTTCTTCTGTCTTTTCAAAACTTAAATGCCAAGGCTGGATGACTGACCAGCATGGAAAACAAAGGCTCTACACATCTGGCTTATGCCAAGGCATTTTTCTGGATTTTTTTTGTTAAATGCAGGTTGATAGTTGTTCTTTTTCACTTCTTTTGCACAGGCAGGTGTATTTTGTGGCTTTGAAGCCCACATGAGAGAATATGTTTCCAGCAAATCAGACCTTCACTCATGGAGCATCTCAGAGCAATCCCATCAAGAAGCCAAAGTCATCTGTGAATCCCTGGGTGCTGTGTTTTTTCCTATGGCTTGAAATATGGGTAGTTTTTCCTTTTCTCTTGCATTTTTATGCCAGACAAAATACTGCTCTCAACAAGTCTGAAGTGACGCAGATGAGCCTTCCCAACTAGTAGCAGAACTGACTGAAAGTGCCAAAGGCCTCCTTTTGTACTAAGCAACACCAAAAATCAGACCTGCACACGGTTTCTAGCTGGATTTGCACCTTCCACTCCAACGGGTGCTAATCCACTGCTTTCATCCACTGCAGGGCTGTGTGCTGCACACACAGGGAAGGGCAGGGTGCAGTGCTGCCACCAGAAGGTCATTCCATCACTCCAAGTCCCTCTTATCGATGTATTTGCATATTGGAGCTCCTCTCTGATGATGGTGCTTGTGTCTCTTTCCCTGTAAGACTAGCAGAGAACTCTGAGTGCTGCCAAAGGAGCAGCTTTCCACTCAACACACGCAGATGTTTTGCAGGCACTTCATGGGCTTTGTTTCCTTCATTTGCTGAGACAGAGGACAAGAAAGGAAGGTTACTTCTCACTTCTCAGTAAGTGTATTCTGCAGGCTGTCTGGAGAAGCTGACTTTC